CCCCGAGCCACACAAAGCAGTGACCCGAACTGGCCCGCCTCATGGCAGTTCGGGACACTCCCCTATCCGAACTCAAGACTTCGCCTTGCACATCGCTCTAGCACTTCGCCTCCAGAACGCCGAACTAGACAAACCCCACCATACCTGACACTGAAGGAGTCCGTATCCAGGGGCGGCGCACCTGACTGACTTGGGATCTGACGCTTGACAGCCTTACTTCAACGGCCACCTGCCACCGTCACCTGCCACCGCTATCTCCAGTTACAGAGATGGCTCCGACAAAAGGAACAGTGGCGGTTCTGCCCCAACAGAGGTGATGACACCCGAACTGGCAGAAGCACGGAAGTAATCATACCCGACCTGACAGATGTTTAGGAGTGAATGCGCGAGGTGGTTATAAAAGGCTCTCTACCCCCCAAGAACAGGGTATGCAAACTTTGCGCTATTTGGTTTTATCTTGCCTTTGAAGGATTCTAACTTGACCTTCGGAGCCTTTACACCGGGTTCCCCCTAGAGCTTCCTCATCTTCTCCATTTCAGGTTCCCTACTACTCAGTTCAGAGGCAAAGTCATTGATAGCTAAGACCTGCCGGATTGCGCATCATCACTAACGTATATTTTACATCGATTAGAAACACGGTGAATGTAAATACCGGTTCCTTTTTACACTCTCAAAAGTCAATCAATGAAAAACTCCTCGTAAATTTAGATTTACACTGCAACCAAACGCAGCCTTATTGTTTACTACGATTCCCTCAACAAACATATTAAATGGAGCATTGCATTTGGGCCAGGTTAACTGGAGCCGAACTAATTTTGGTTTGCACACATGCCAAATGAGAATCCCTTAAAGAAACCTTACTAAATAAATTAAGGTGATAATTTTTTACCCCTTAGATAAAAGGAAATGATCCAGGGTTTTGCTGTACCTAAGTAGATTAATCCGATTTTCTTCTTGGATAGTTCTAAATAGTAGGTTTGGATTGGAGACCTTTTTGGGTCTAACGGTTTTAAGGCTCCATTTGAAAGGTATACAAATGCCAATATGCAGAGTGCAAAATTTTGTGTTTTGTATTATTTTTTATGTATTTGTATTGTATATATTTGTATTTGTACTTCTTTCAAACTGAGCCTAATGGTTTTTTTGGGTCAAATGAATTAATTGGCCGATTAATCGATAAAAGCAGAACTGGTGTAGCATATATACACAATTTTTAAGCTGCATTTGACATTCTTTATTTTAAGGATTTATTTCGTTTTTACAGTTATAATGTCCCTATAAACACTGATTTTTTAATTGTAAAAAGGAAATAAATCCTTAAAGTATTGGATCAAGCTGAGGATGAAGCCAAGTGGTAACCTGATTTGAAAGACATGGAACCCAGTCTGAGGATGGAGCCAAGTGGTAACCGGATTTGAAAGACTTCACACCCGAAGGGTGGGCCATTATTATTAAACAAAGGGTAAATTTCTAAAGCCTTTCCTGAAGTTTTTAACCATTTCTGAAATAGTTGTAATTAAACCTCCTCTTTGAATCACTTAACAAGAGGCACAAAATGTTTGAAATATCCATGCAATTATTTTTTATTAAAATGTTTATTTTTCAAATTGTATTCATATCAATTGCTTAAAGGTAAAATTATAACTTTAAACTCTCTCTTTTGTTGTTCATAAAATTTATGTTTTTTTTTTTTTTCTTTCAGCAGAAACCAGCCTTAATAATAATTTCATAGATATTTTAAACATTTTATGCCTCTTATCAGAGAATTCTAACAAAGAATTAAGACAATTGTGTCAAAAAAAAATTCCAGAGACGTGATTTGCAATTATCAAACTTGAGGGGTGGTTTCAGCAACTTACTCAAACAAATGATACTTTTATCCTCATCTTTACTTTTTTGACATTAACCGAAAGATGGTTACACTCGTCAGATGCGGTTGGCAGAATCAATTAATCAACTTCATATTCCAAGATGTAGAGAGAGAGATGAAAGGGACAGAGGAACAACAAACCATGTATAAATATTGGTAACAACGGCGTGAACAAATCAAGGTGTGGGCAGAGGCAAAACTCAAAAGAAATGGGATTGTTACTGATACTCGGCCTATATGTTTCTTGTCTAATGATGCCCTCTTCTTTACACACAACATTGGTTTCAGGTATATTCATCATTTTCCTTTCTTAATTTCTCTTTCATTTGAGTTCAAAGTTTAAAGTTCCAAGAGATAGGTCTGAGAGAGGTGAAGTTCTTAATGAATTAAAGATAATTCGAGTTGTAGCCTCTGATTCATCAACAGCTATGTGCTAAGTTGGTGATGAATTTGAGCAATTATTATTAGAATAAAAATCTTTTTTGAGACCTCATCTAACAGTATAAGCTTTTAGATTAAATCATGATTTCTTGACAAAACATAGAGCCTGTTTTACCAAGGACCTCACTTAGTAGTTTAAGCTTTTAGATTGAACAGTTATGAATCTGCCTATGTATCAGCTCAAGCAACAAAGGCAACAGCCAAAAACCCTCCCTATATGTCTCTTTCCTTGCAGTTGGAATCTGAACCAGATAAAATTTTGCAACCAGTTCACTTTTGCATTCGCTTGTACTCTTCCAAACGTTAGGCATATGCTGGTTTCTTAACTTTACACTTTGACAAAACAAAGAAAAGCTAAGAGGATCAGTATCTTACGTGGAAGAATAGAAAAGTGGCCCATCAAGAAACTGTAGTTATGCCATTGCGAAAAGATGGAAAAGATTCCTGGAATACACAACTAGCCTGGTAGTTAACGTGACTGTTTCTAATTGGTCAAGTACATTAAATTTTGATGAGGTTAGCTACTTAGCTTTATAGGATTCGGAGACACTAAGCAGAGGTGATAAAAGTAACACTTGGGGAGTCTCTGTACAAGCATGGTGAAAGATTCGTTGGTCGGTTAGGCTTTTCCTCGAATATATAGAGTTCGTCATTGGTAGGGCCCTGATTGCACTTGTGAAAAAGTTTGGGAGTGCAATTTTCATTTACGCTCCCAAGTCCCAAACATTTACATTTTTTACTAACGCAAATGAAATTCTTTGTTGTTGGGTTGGGATTGAAACCTTGTTTTTCTTGTAGCTTATCGGCAGGAAGACAATTATATACGTCTGCACAGGAAGTTGTCGACTTGGGAAGGAAATGATGCACGCCTCTTACTGGCAAGTGCTGGTGGTCGTGGGGTTGGCGGAGTAAGTGGTGGTGGTGCGGCTGAGGGAAGTGGAAATGGGGGAAACGACTTACCAGCAGGCGCAGGACTCATTCCGTTGTATGGAGCCGCAGCCGGTTCTGGTGCTGCAGCTGCCAACAATAATCGCCATGGAAATAATAACCATCACAATGATGCTACTCGCATTAATGGACACTACTACATTGGGCTTTCAACAACAGTGGGCGCTGCTGCCATATTCACTTCAATTCTTTTACATTTGCATGGCGGTGAGATGTAAAAATCTACGAGTTGTCAACACACACCAACTGTAGCAAAGAGAGTAGTCCATCATCTCTTATCAGCGATGGATTACTTAATTCACTATGCTGTACTACTACTTGTGTCTGAGTACTTAAGAGTTTCTTGCTTGTGAGGCTGTTTGTAACAGCTGACAGCCTCTTATTTTATTACTTGCTTGTTATTAAATGAAATTGATAAAGTATTCTCTCCTTAAACAAGTTCAAGATGTTTATATTTATGAATATGAAGAGGAAGAAATTAAACATAATAAAATTAACCAAAAGCATATCTTTATGAGAGAGAGAGTAATTATAGAAACACAAAACTACTTTTTCTACTTTTCGATTGCACCTCTACATTATTTATTATTTGGAGTATTCGTTAAAGGGAACTTTGTCTTCAAACATTTCTTAACATCTGTAGATTGCAGCTTATACAAAGAAGTTGAGTCTCTACAGTTGATAGTTTGGGAGCACGCTCCGTTTGAGACTCCCAAATCACTGATGATTGAAGTTTTGGGGGGGAAGGGTTTCTAATCAGAGATTAGTTGTTGAGGGACCCAAGTTCCTGTTTACACGTAATAGACTCGAGGATTCAGGATGGTGGCGATGGATTTAGAACAGGGGGACTTCGGGGGAGTTGAGGAGGCTGTCTAGTGATGGTGATCAGACTCCAACAAATTTAGCTCCACCTTTTCAGGGACTCGTCTGGTGGTGGTGGGGAGGAGACGAAGATTCCTGATTCAGTCTGTCCATCGAAGTTAGACGAGCAGCTCACACCGCTTCTGTTTCATCTTAACCTGGTCATTGGCCAAAAACTAGCCTGTCAATGATACCCGTAAATCCGCAATTCGATCCGATAATATTGGATTCGGATGGCTGAAGTAGAATCCGATTAAAAATCGGATCGAACTCGGATTCATCCTCATCCGATCCGATAAAAATCCGAATCCAATATATTTATAAATATAATTATATTTTATATATACTTTTATACATTAATGGAATAGATAAAATTTCTTAGGGGTAAATGAGGAAATCTGTTCCTCAAACCCCCGGTGGGCCAGCCCTAAAATTCTAAACCCTCACTCGATACTTCAACAATCGACATTTTCTTCTCACTTCTCCTCTCTTGTCCTCGCCTAACTTGCCTTGCTATTTGCCAAGTTGCTACCATTCTCTTCTCTCTCAACTCTTACTCTCTACAACAACCAAGTTGCCATCACCATTCTTTTCTCACCATTGTCGGTTCTTTTCTCGCTTAGGTTTTCTTCTCGACCAAGGAGCTCTCATGTACCATTTTCTTTTAGACCATAGGTTTTCATTTGTTTTGAATAAATTATAATTTTTTTCAAATTTTTTGAAATAAAAATTTAAATTTTACAGATTAAATAGTTGTTTCAAAACTTTTAAGTAAAAATTACTGATTATAGATTTTGTTTTAATGATATTACATTAAGCAATCGTGACCATTCAACCAAGGTTTTTAAAATTGAACCAAACAACAAACCGATCAGGGGTCCGGTTCCCAGGTCAAATGGCCCAACCATTCGGTTTGAACGGATGGCCCATTCTGCCATAAAAAATAAAAAATAAAAAAAGCGGCCAAAACCGTTAAACAATCAAACGGTTGACCACTTGGGTCAGCGGCTTACTGACAAAATCAATGATTTTTGGCAAAATAACGGTTTTGGGGTAAAACATAACCAGTCACCTGACTGATTCCCAGTTTTTCTGGTTCGACCGTCTGATCTGGTACAGTTTTGAAAACCATGCATTCAACTGCTAAAATAGGTAACTTCAGTCAGAATTGGATTAAAATCCGAAATCCAAAAAATTCGACCAGTTTCAAACTCAGATTCCCTGCACATAATCCAATCGGATTTCAGATCGGAGTCAGTGTCGAATCTAACTCGGATTTAGATGAATCCGATCTGATGACAGAACTATCAAAAACTGTTAATTTGGTCAACAACCCATTATCCCAAACAGTTAATTCATCAACCCATTAGACCCGAATGGTCAAACCACTGACGTGAAAACCGTGGCCAAAGCGGTTTTAGTTCAGGGTGGATTTTTAAAACCTTTCTTTCTGACATTATCTTTAAATTTAAATTCAAATATAATATTATTTTGAATTTGATTGAGGAAATTTGATACTTTTCTTTTTGGTTGGGGAATCAGGTTCACGTATTATTTATTACTCATTAATTCTAGTTTGGGTTAAGTACTCCATTAAAATGCTGTCATTTCTAGTGATAGATCATAAGATTTTCATATCGCATAAGCTTTTTAAAAGCCACTTTTTCCCTATTGGCAATTTTTTCAAAATGGTGGAATAAAAGTGGAAATGACTTATTATATTCCTTGAAAGTACGGGTGGACTCGAGCTGAGCCGAGCTCGAATAGCTAGAATCTTGAGCTTGAACTCGACTCAAATTAAAAGCTTGTAAGTTTTATAAAAATAATATATATATATATAAAAGTTTATTTAACACTTAAAAATTAATAATTATAATAATTGGTTATTATTATATATTATTTTCTATAAATTATTATTATTATTATTATTATTATTATTATTATTATTTCTATGTAGCTATTCAATGAGCCGAGCTCGAATAGCTCGTGAAGAGCTCCGCTCGTGGCCACCCCTACTTGAAAGGACAATTTTGTAGATGAAGATATTTGTTTAAATATCTTAAACTACCCTTAGTTAATAATTGACTAAGGTGGCATTTGATTGCACTTTCCAGACGTTTGAGTTTCTGACCTCAAACCCATTTGGTGTCCCCTCTTAAAACTATTCTAAATTTTATTTTTAGATCTGAAAACCATATCGCGCGGGCCGACTTTTAACGCACTCAGACACGTTTCAAAGCTGGTGCATTATCGAAATTACCCTTGTTCAACCCCAACCCAAAATAAAACCTAGTCACTTGTGTTTTCACTCTTAGGTACAGGAAGGAAGAATAGCACTTGTGTTTTTCGCTCTCTCGTGAATCCATTCTCTCTCTCTCTCTCTCTCCTGTCTTCATGCCACTACTACTACAAGTTGCTACGGTGGCGATTCAGTATTAATAATAATTATCATTAATTGTAAATTATTTTTACTAATTATTAATTATTAATTATCTTAATATTTTTATTAAACATTAATTATTATTATTAGTGATTAATTATTTTTATTGTGTTAGTTATAATTATTAATCATTAATTTTTATTGGTTATTTTAGTTTTTATTAAATTTTATTCATTTTAATATTTTTTATTAGTGATTAATTACTTTTTTAAAATTTTTATATAATTTTAATACTATTTTGAATTTGGTAAGTTATTTTATATAAAATAATGCTAATTGCATTCACAATTACAAAATAGCCTGTTCTAAGGCTAAAATAATAAAACAAAGCAATTTTAGATGGTGTAGAATTGATCCAATACAGGCATTATCTATTTAGATCCTCTAAAAATAGAAAATCATCTATGCCTCTTTTCGAAATTTAAAATCCTTTTAACTTTTCAACATCAGATTTATAATTTATCAAACGCCACTTAACTCTACCTTTTTAAAGTATTCTTACTGTTTTTGTCGGTTGATAACTTTGCCCTCTACTGTTGCTCGATTTTTCAAAATAAAACCCAACTCAGAGAAATCTGGTAAAGATAGGAAGCAAATGGCTGCTCCGTCTCCGTTTCCATCTCGTACTCTGTTTTCACCTCCATCTCCGTTTTCCATCCCCGTCTCTGCCTCCCTCTTCGTTTTCCCTTTCAGTCTCTGCCTCTGTTCTCACAGACACAGCGGAAGCATCCATTCTCATAGAAAAGAAAGATTATGTAGCTGAAAGTGGCATACTGGGACCGGTGGGCTCATGCCGATGCCGATGAAGATCAAAGAGGGGAAAGGCAGCTCTACGGATGCATACTGTGTGGCCAATATGGACAGAAATGGGCCCGCACGCGTATTGTTGTGGATGGCTTGCACCAAAGTGGAAAAGTGAGCAGGGTTCCGAAATTGTTTTTCAGCAAAGTAAAGAAAACAAAATAGCCCATTGGGATGGTGTGGCTACAGACCATAAACTCAGAAAATCCTGCTCCAGATAGGGAGGATTATTAGGGTCCGCGAGGAATGCCGGATAAGGGAACAAGGCTTCAGGAATTTTCAGGTGGAAGAGAGGATGAAGGGTATTAAAGAGACCAGGGAGAGGTTCGGATGCTGCTTCTTCCAGTAGCAAATTCAACACCAAAAAATCCTTCACTAGTGCACTCCACGCCTCACCGATTGAACCGGTAACTACTTCCCACTCTGTAGACGTCGGGTGCAATCCTCTCTAGGAAGTCAACCTTCAAATCCAGAATCATCCAAACGACATTTGGAGCCATTACCAACGACAATAAAAGCGATGCATCTCTCACAACAATATCTGCACTATTTGTAAAATCAACTCAACTAAATTAATAACGAGAGAATGTAGCAACTAATATACAAGAACAGAGTAACAGACCAAATAGCAGAAACGAGTTGGGTTTGATCAAGCAATTATTGTTTCGATGAACTAACCAACAATCAACATAAGCAATTCAGTTGAGGGAATTCAGCAGTCATCAAGCAACACTTCACATCATGCTGTCCTTCTAAGCACGACAATGTCGACAGAGCTGAAACGTCTTTCCTAGCAAAGCATCTCTCCTCTGTTTTCTACAGACAGACAAAACTAAATGCATGGCTCCAACTGGTCCCTCTCTCCCTTCCCATACTAGTCACATGGAAAGAATTCCGAAAACCCAACAAGACTAGATCGTTTGATGCGGTTCACAGTGAATTAATAACCCCACAAAAAGAAACCTGAGATAGTGGAGAACCAACTTCCTCCTTTCCCATCTCATCAGTCGTTACTCACAGCCGATCTTCGAAGCTTCCATTGGGGAGAACCAACCTCCTCCTTGGCTGAATGAATCTCATAAAATTTCTTGAAAGTTTACTTTCCCTTTCTGCTTAGACGTGAAACAAACAGTGGGAAACCTTTCTTTTTACTTCATTTTCCTGTTGGTAGTAGTTGCTGCCAATGGACAGGACATTCCACAAGACAATGGAAAAAGTATAAAGTAATGATGGACCATCAAACCGATGTGCGATGGACACGATAAACAAAAAGAACTATTGAACGACGGAAGTATTTCATTTAGGTATGTTTGATATTTATAGATACATTGAGAAA